ATCAAGAATGCAATTGTATTTACAAAAGTCAAAAATAAAATACCCAGGAATGTAGCTAACCAGGGAGGTGAAAGATCTCTACAAGGAAAACTACAAAACACTGCTCAAAGAAATCATAGGTGACACGAACAAATGGAAAAGCATTCCATACTTGTGGAATGGAAGAATCAACATTGTTAAAAATGGCCATACTGCCCAAAGCAATCCACAAATTTAATGCTATTCCTATCCAACTACCAATGCTATTTGTCACAGAAGTAGAAAAATCTATTCTAAAATTCATACTGAACCACAAATGAGCCCAAACAGCCAAAGCAATCCCAAGCAAAAAGAACAAATTTAGAGACATCACATTACCTGAGTTCTGACTATACTGTAAGGTTACAGTAACCAAAATAGGATGGTACTGGTTCAACAGCAGACACATATTCAAACAGAAAGGACAGAGAAGCCGGAAATAAAGCTGCACACTTATAAACATCTGATCTTCAACAAGTAGACAAAACAAGCAATCAGGAAAGGACTCTTTAGTCAATAAATGGTGCTGGGGTAACTGGCTAGCAATATGCTGAAGAATAAAACTGGACTCCTACCTATCACCATATACAAAGATTGACTCAAGATGGGTTAAAGACAAATATAAGATGTAATACTATAAAAATCCTAGAAGAAAACCTAGGAAGTACCTTTCTGGACATTGGCCTTGGCAGACGTGACTAAGTCTGCAAAAGCAACTACAACAAAAACAGAAATTGACAAGCAGGATCTAATTAAACTAAAAAGCTTCTGCACAACGTAGGAAACTATCAACAGCATAAACAGGCAACCTACAGAATAGGAGAAAATATTCACAAACTAATTATCCAACAAAGGCTCAATATCCAAAATCTATAAAGGAACTTAAGCAATTCGACAAAGAAGAAATAATCCCATTAAAAAGTGGATAAAGGAAATAGCCAACTCTCAAAGGAAGACATACACACAGCAAACAAACATATGAAAAAATGCTTAATATCACCAATCATTAGAGAAATGCAACTCAAAACCACAGTGACATACTATCTGACATCAGTCTGAGCATGCATTATTAAAGATTCAAAAACAATGGATGCTGGCAAGGCTGCAGAGAAAAAAAAAAATGCTCATGCACTGTTGGTGTAAATGTTTATTAGTTCAGCCACTGTGGAAAACAGTTTAGAGATTTCTCAAACAACTTAAAAAACAGAACTACCATTAGACCCAGGAATCCCATAACGGCATGTTTACTCAAAGGAAAATAAGTCATTCTATCAAAAAGACACATGCACTTGTATGTTCATCATGGCACTATTCACAATAGCAAAGACATGGAATCAACCTAACTATCCATCAGTGGTGGACTGGATGAAGAAAACGTGGTACATAAACAACATTGAATACCATATAGCTATAAAAAGGAACAAAATCATGTCCTTTGCAGCAACATAGTTGCAGCTCCATTAATCTAAGCTAATTAACACAGAAACAGAAAATCAAATACCACATGTTCTCTAAGTGGGAGCTGAACATTGAATACATATGGACATAAAGATGAGAACAATAGACACTGGGGACTACTAGATAGGGGAGGGAGGTGTGGGGAGTGAGGGGTGAAAAACTCACTATGCTATGCTTACTACCTGAATGACAGGATCTTTCATACAATATACCCATGTAATGAACTGCATGTGCACTCCCTGAACCTAAAAGCAATTTTTGTAAATGATGCATATGAGCCATAACAATAAAAAGTACATTTTAAAGTAACTGTAGGTTGTTTGCATGAGTTTACATAGTGCAATCAGTATTATTTCAATATTAAAACCATAATCAGAGGCCACGGGTGCAGCAGTTCACACCTGTAATCCCAGCACTTTGGGAGGCTGAGGCAGGCGGAGCACGAGGTCAGGAGTTCGAGAACAGTGTGGCCAATATGGTGAAACCCTGTCTCTACTAAAAATACAAAAATTAGCTGGGGGTGGTGGTGGGCACCTGTAGTTCCAGCTACTCGGTAGGCTGAGGCAGAAGAATCGCTTGAACCTGGGAGGCAGAGGTTTCAGTGAGCTGAGATTGCACCACTGAACTCCCAGCCTGGGTAACACAGTAAGATTCCATCTCAAAAAAAAAAGAAAAAAAAAATCAGAAATCAACAAATAAAAGGGACTACCAGTATCCTGTTAGCTTTCAAATCCCTAAACTATTAAATTCCTCTCAGGGAGTGACTCAATATAGAAAAACACAATATTTTTACATTAAAGACAAATTGATACAACTATTTGCATACTCTGCATTCAGGTAAGTATTTATAATCACGCATTAAGGTCATCACTTTGTAAAATTTTAGAATTAGAAGGTCTCTTACAAGTCATTGTGATAGACTGAATATTGGTGCAAAATATATACATGTTCTAATCCCTGGAACCTGTAAATGTTACCTTAAAAGGCAAAAGCATATTGCAAATGTGATAAAGATCTTCAGTGGGGGTTAAGATTAAAGATCTTAATCCCCACTTAAAAAAAGGAGATTATCCCATGGGCTCTAAATGTAATCACAAGTGTCCTTATAAGAGAGCAGCCAAGGGAAATTTGACTATAGAAAATGAGAACGCAATTCAAAAATAGAAGCAGAGATTGGAGTGATACAACCATAAGCTAAGGAATACTGGCAACCACCAGAAGACAGAAGAGGCAAAGAATAGATTCTCCTCCGGGCCCTCTTAAAGACATTGGTCCTGCTGATGCCTTGATTTTAGCCCTGTAAGACTCATTTGGGGCTTCTGGCCTCCATAGCCAAGAAAATTAATTTCTATTGCTTTAAGCCACTAAATATATAATTTTTACAACATTAGTAGGAGACTAATACAGTCAATCTATTAGTGCTCAAATTTGCTGGTAAGTGACAGTATTCTTTTAAGATCTCCATCATTTTTCTCGGGAAGTGAAGGGAGAAAGGAAAAACTCTATAATATGTTGACATATTTAATTTTATTAAATGAGTCATGAGCATTTTTTTCTACCAGAAATGATCGCATATTCTATTTGTGATACATAAATTATACCAATGGTTAAAATTAAAATGCTGAATGAGGTGAATAAAGGGAACTTCTAAACATTTTCTATGAATATCCTGCCTTCAGGAGATGGAGATTAAATGTCAAACTATTTGGAAAATTTGTGAGAATATCATTGTGTGACATTGAAAGAAAGGAAAGTAAAAGCCATACAAAATATATTTAGGTTCAGATTAATTTGTGCTAAATAGTGGACCAGAAGATAGTTTTTGTTTTCTTTCTTAAATATTAATACATTTATCTTCCTTAGGAAATATAAATCAGATGCATTGATAGTAACAAAACCCTCACTTATTTGAATTAGTTAAAAATAATTGAAATTATGGTCAAAAAGAGATGAGATCCTGAAGGGAGGTGGTTCTCACATATAAATGCATGGACAGGGAGTTTTAAAGGAAGACAGTGCAAGTCAAGGAGTCTAATCATTAAGTACATCTTTTCTGTTCTCAAATGAGGCTTCGTGACTTAATCAAACAACTTCTAATTTCTTCTTAGAAAAAGTTACTGAAAATCAGAACCCAGAAAAAGTCAAATCATGGTTTGAGAGAGGTTGTAAGTATAAAATCTATCAAAAGACACATCCATCACAAGCAAGAATATTTGGATCATAAAAGCAGAAACAGAAACTAAAGAATGGGGGATACACAATGTTACCACCATTTTATTCTTTGTCCATATTTAAAAGCCTCTTATCCTTTTCTTAAGGACCCTGTATTAAAGCGTGCTTGATTTCATAAAATCATGTAGGTGGACTAGGCACTCTCAGTAAATAGTTAAAATATAAAAACCATAGAAGAATAGACTAACTGAAAGAATATGGGTAGCAGAAACAGGTGTTTTTGTGATCTTTAGGCAATTTAATTGCAACATGCCTAATCATTAACTTTTTGCTGCAAATAAGTAAAAACCTGTCAGAACATCACTGTTTGATAAAAATTTAAGAATCACTGTCTTAAAATAATCAAGATCTAATCAACCTCTTCATTTGATACACAACCCAGCTGTCAACCTGAGAGATTGAGTGGCTTGCTGAAATCACCCAGGTAATCAGTAACAAATTCTGGACACGAAGCCAAGTCTCCTTATTTCCAGTCTACTAATGGTAGTTTCTTTCTATCATACTTTACAAATGTGTTTGTGAGTAAGATAGGTCAAGATTAAATATAAATATTTGGCAAATTTGTGAATTTAGGCTTGTTTATATTTTCATCATGAAAAACACTTACCTTTTTATTTTGGGTATGGCTTTCTCATGAAAACATTGACAAACTCCAAAGTATTTACTATGATTTCTGATTTATAAACTGCTAATGTAACAACGTATCTGAATATGGCTTGTGTTTTGAAATGCTAAGTAGTAAACTTAAAAATACTCAGTGAGATTCCTACCATCTTCATTTCACACTACCCAGGGACATTACTTATTTGAGTCAATCCTATCCATCAGTTAGTACAATAACAGAAAAGCACGGCAAGCATTTGATTCATAATTTTATGCATTGTACTTTACTGTAACAGGTGCTTAGTCCTTGGGCATAAAATAAACTTGCAAAGTCCTCCTAAATGGATCAAGATTCATTATAAAGTAAAAGTCATAAATAATTTTGTAGGTAAACAGAAAAAAGACAGGAACATACATAGAATGAGTCAATAGTTTTAAAATTATTACTATGCAAACAAAGTACCTGTAGTCACTAGGGAGATTAAGTAAGACCTTGATGCCAGGGAATACAATATTTTGAGGGGTTAATAAGAACATAACTTTTAAAATATTACTAATGCTCTACACCAGACAACTTTGCTTTCAAAAGTAACAAAATATATTCTCATACAGGTTTAAATAAAATAACTATTTTTTCTATTTCATTCACTTTAAAAATAATTAGCATAACTGTTAATTTCAATGTTTACCTGAAAGAATGCATCCTTTCGACTTAGAGGTATGCTCATGAAAAGTGTCACATAACTTTCTGAAATTCTATCGAATAAGCAATCTTGGTTTTCTCTGTCAGGCTTAAAAAAATGTGTGAAATTAAAGTCAATATTACAATTTAAAACTGGAATTTGTTTACACGATGACAGCAATTTTATTTATTTTTATGAGCAGATCAATTGGTATAGGAGAATCAGCATGGGTTTTGGCATAATGCAGACCCAAATTTTAACACTGGCTGTTTTGCATTAGCTGTATTACCCTGGGCAAGTTAATTAAGTCCCAGGTTTCTCATCTGTCAAATGTAGGTAATATATACTTATTTTAAAAGAGTGTAGTAAGATTAAATAAGAACAGGGATCATATTTTTGCAACTTTGTATTTCAAGGCCTTAGCACAGTACCTGACAACAAAAAGCATGCAAACATTTGGTGAGTTAATTATCCTTGCATTCCAGGAATAAATCCCACTGGTTATGGTGTATAATCCTTTTAATATGCTGTTGCTTTTGATTTGCTGGTATTTTGTTGAGGATTTTTGTGTCAAAATTCATCATAAAAGATATTGGTAGTTTCTGTTATTTTTATTGTAGTGTCTTTCTTGGGCTTTAGTATCAGAGTAACACCTTCTAACTCACAGGTTGAGTTAGAAAGTGTTTCCTCTTCAACTTTTTGAAAGAGTTTCAGAAGGACTGGTGTTTATTCTTTAAATGTTGGTAGAATTCCCCAGTGATGCCATCTGGTACATCTGGTACAGGGCTTTTCTTTGATGGGAGGTTTTTGATTACTGATTCAATCTCCTTAATAGTTATAATGTTTAGATTGTCTATTTCTTTGTGATTCTATCTTGTTAAATTGTATGTTTCTAAGAATGTGTCCACTTCAACTACATTATTCCAATTTGTTGGCATATATTAGTTCACAGCACTTATAATTCTTTTTAACTCCATTAAACTGAAAATATTGTCCCCACTTTCATTTATAATTTTAGTAATTAGTCTTCCCTATTTTTTAATAGTCATTCCAGCTAAAGGTTTGTCCATTTTGTTCTTCTCAGAGACAGAACTCCTAGTTTTGTTAATTTTTTTCTGTTTTTCTATTCTTCACTTCATTTATCTCTGTTGCAATATTTATTATTTCCTTCCTTCTGTTAACTTAGGATTTAATTTGTTCTGTTTCCGGTTACTTAATATGTGAGATGGTGTGGTTGATTTCAGATCTTTCTTCTTTGATTTTTAATGTTTTATTAATTTTAATTTATAAATCATAATTGTATGTATAGGGTACAATGTATCATTTTGATATATGAATACAATGTGAAATGATTAAATCAAGCTCCTTAATGTATCCATTATCTCAGTTACTTATAATTTGTTGAGGTGAGACATTTAAAATTTACTTTTAGCAATTTTGAAGTATATAATATAGTACTATTAACTGTAGTGACCACGTTGTGCAACAGGTCTCAAAGTTATTCCTCCTGTCTCACTGAAACTCTTTACCCTTTGAACATGTGCCCATTCCCAGCCTTCAGCTCAGCCTCTGTAACTACTGCTCTGCTCTCTACTTCTCTGAGTTCAACTTTTTTAGATTCCACATGTAAGTGAGATCATGTGATGTTTATCTTTATAAGCCTGGCTTATTCCACTTGGCAATACGTCCTCCAGGTTCATTCAGGCTGTCATGAATGTTAGGATTTCCTTTTTTAAGGCCCAAAAATATTCTACTGTGCATTTACACCACATTATCCATTCATTCATTGACAGACAATTAGGCTGATTTCCATGATGGACACTTAGGTTGATCTCCTGTCTTAGCTATTGTGCTGCAATGAATGTGGACAGAGAGATATCTGTTTGACATATTGATTTCAATTCCTTTGGATGTATACCCAGAAGTGGGATTACTGGAGCATGTAGTAGTTCTATTTTTAGTTTTTGAGAAATCCATACTGTTTTCCATATTAGCTGTAGTAATTCACATTTCCAACTGTATACAAGTGTTTCCTTTTCTCCATATCCTCACCAAAACTTGTTATCTTGCATCTTTTTTGATAATAGCCATGTGAGATAACATCTCATGTATCAAACAGGTGTTGTGAGATGACATCCCATTGTGGTTTTGGTTTGTATTTCCCTAATGATTAGTGATGTTGAGCATTTTTTCACATACTGTTCACATAGCTATTTTTATGTCTTCCTTTGAGAAGCATTTGATTAGAGCCTTTGCCCATTTTAAAAATTTTATCAAATTATTTTTATCAAATTTGAAACATATTATTTACTGTGGTCACCATGCAGTATAACAGATCATTAAAACTTATTTCTCTGGTGTAACTGAAACTTTGTATCATTTGATCATCGCACCTTTCCCCATTTCTCCCACCCTCAGCCTCTGGTAACTACCTTTCTGCTCTCTGTTTCTATGAAATTGACTTTTTTAGACTCCACATGTGAGATCATACAGTATTTGTCTTTCTGTACCTGGCTTATTTCAGTTAGCAAAATATCCTCCAGTTCCATCTATGTTGTTGGAAATTACAGAATATCCTTGTTTTTAAAGGTCATATAGTAATCCATATAAACTATAAACCATATAAACTATATATACATAGTATATATATTTGTGAAATATATTTGTGATGGATTACTATCTATATTTCAATATATATTATATATTATATATACCAAATATATATAGTGTATATATATTTATATACCAAATCTTCTTTATCCATTCATCCATTGATGAACATTCAGGTTGCTTTCATGTCTTGGCTATGTGATTAATGCTAAAATGAACATGAAAGTGCAAATCTTTGCAACACAGGAATTTTAACTCCTTTGGATATAAACAGAAACGAGATTGCTGGATCTTACGGTGATTCTATTTTCAGGTTTTTTGTGGAAACTTCATACTATTTTCTAAAATGACTGTACTAATTTACTAACTTACTTTGTTTCTTTTAAAATCAGGTTGCTTTCCTGCTATTAAGTTGTTTAAATTGCTTATATATTTCAGACATTAACCCCTTATCAGATGTATGGTTTTCAAATGTTTTCTCCCATTCTACAGGTTCTCTCTTCAATCTATTGACTGCTTGCTTTGCTGTGCTGAAGCTTTTTAGTTTTATGCAATTCCATTTGTCTATTTTTTGCTTTTGTTGCCTGTACGTTTGGCTTCATATTCAAAAAATCATTGTACAAACCAATGTCATGGAGCTTTTCCTGTTTTCTTCTAGTAGTTTTACAGTTTCAGATCTTATGTTTAAGTCTTTAATTCATGCTGACTTGATTTTTGTAAATGGTGTGAAATAAGGGCTCAATTTCCTTCTTCTGCATGTGGATACTCAGTTATCCCAACAATAGTTATTGAAGACTGGCCATTCTCCATCATGTGTTCTTGGCACCTTTGTTGAAAACCAATTAATTGTAAATGTGTAGATTTATTTGGGGGCTCTCTTTTCTGTTCTATTGGTATATGTGTCTGTTTTTATGTCAATTCTCTGTTGTTGTTGTTTTTTACTACAATACTACAGCATTATAGTATATTTTTGAAGTTAGGTAGTCTGATACTTCAAGCTTTGTTCTTTTTGCTCAAGATTGCTCAGACTATTCAGGATTTTCTGTAGTTCCATATAAATTTTAGGACTATTTTTTTCTATCTCTGTGAAAACACCACTGGAATTTTGTTAGTGATTGCATTGATTCTGTAGGTTGCTTTGGGTAGTAAAGACATTTTAATTAAACTAATTCTTTCCATCTATAAACACAGGATATCTTTCCATTTATTTGTGTCATCGTCAATTTCTTTTATCAGTGTTTTATGTTTCTAGTATACAGATTTCTCACCTCCTTGGTTAAGTTTAAATCTAAGTATTTTACTTTTTGTTATTACTATTGTAAACAGAATTGTTTTCTTGATTTCTTTTTTGTATAATTCATTGTAACTGTACAGAAATACTACTAATTTTTGAATGTTGATTTTGTATCCTGCAACTTAATTCATATAATATTTCAAACAGGTTTTTGGGGGAATCTTTAGGATTTTCTGTATATAAGATGTTATTACAGACAGAGATATTTCACTTCTTCCTTTTCTATTAGGATACTTTTATTTCTTTCTCTGGCCTAATTGCTATGGGTTTCTTATTTTTTAATGTAAGAATTTACAGCTATAAATTTCCCTCTTTGCATTGCTTGTGCTACATCTCATAAGTTTTGGTATGTTGTGTTTTTGTTTTCATTTATCTCAAGGTATTTTCTGACTTCCTTTTTGATTTCTTCTTTGACCCACTGGTTGTTCAGGAACAATAGGAACTCAATATATTAACGGGAGTATAAAATTGTATATTCACCTGGAAAAACAATGTGACATTTTCTCATTAAGCTGATCATTTTCATACCAAACAACCCCACAATTCCTTTCCTTCTTTAATGTCTTATACCTTCTGTTTGAGAGCTGGGCATCTTTCATAGGCCTGTAGAAACTGAGGTACATAATATTTATGCTTGGGAATAGGCATTCCTCTTCCTTTGCTAAGCCTTTAGGAGCTTGACTCAATTAAGTTAAGTAACGAGCTGTATTTGGGTTTTGTTTCTTCTATGGTCACTCTCAGTGAAACAGAGGCTTCAGTCTGCTCTTGTGCTACCTCATTTTTAGAATTCTGGAATAACTAACTTTTGGCCTAATTGAGTTTCTTTGTCTTCTCTTTTTAATGTTATTAATTTTCTCTCTGGTCTTTATTATTTTATTTTCTTCTGCTTTCCATAGGTTTGGTTTTTTTTTTCTTTTTCCACTTTCTTAAGGTAGAAGCTGAACTTCCTCTTTTTGGAGAACTTCCTCTTTTTTCTAATGTAGGCATTTTAATTCTATGATTTTCTCTCTAAATACTGCTTTAGTTATATCTCACACATTTTAATCTGTGTTTTCATTTTCATTTAGTTCAAAAGAATTTCTGATTTCCTTATTGATTCCTGATTTGATCCATGGTTACTGAGAATTGTGTTCATTTCCAAATATTTGGGGATTTTTTAGATATCTGTTATTATTTTATAATATAATTCCATTTTGATCTGAAAATACTGTGTTTGACTTGAATTCTTATAAACTTATTAGGATATTTTCCTAGCTCAGAATATAGTTAATCTTAAATGTTTAATGTGGACTTGAGAAAAATGTGTATTCTGCTGTTATTGGGAGGTGCTATGATTTGAATGTGTCCCCCAAAGTTCATGTATTGAAAACTTGATCCCCAGCGCAGTGGTGTCGGGAGATGAGGCCTAATGGGAGGTGTTTGGGTCTTGGGGACATTACCCTCATGAATAGATTATGCCATTATCACAGAAGTGTGTTTGTTATCATAGGAGGGGCCCTCTTGCTTCTTCCCTCTCTCATCTTCTACCTGCTGCCAAGGGATGATGCAGGAAAAAGGCCCTCACCACATGCTGGCCCCTCTATCTTGGACTTCCTAGCCTACTGTGAGTCAATTCATTCTGTCCATTATAAATCACCATTCTGTTATATTCTGTTATTGTAGCACAAAACCAACTAATACAGGAGAGATGTTTAATAAATGTCAATTATGTCAAGTTGCTTGAGAGTGTTGTTTAAGCCTTCTATATCATTCTGTATCCTTACTAATTTTCTGTATATTCTACCAACTATTCAAAGAAGGGACTGAAGTCTCTATACCTATTGACTTGTGTATTTCTTTTTAAAGTATTACAAGTTTTTATTAAATGTGTTTTGAAGCATTTGTATTAGGTGCATAAATACTTGGAATTGTTAAGTCAGGTTGATGAGTTGACCACTTCAGCATTATAAAATTACTTTCTTTATCTGTGGTAACATTCTTTGCTTTGAAATCTACTTTATATGATGGGTTAAAAAAAAAAACTGACTTTATAAGTTAAATGTCTTTATTTTATTGTTGTTTGGAGGGGAATGATGCACTTTCCAGGTACTTGTCTTTTTTGTAGTCAAGGTCCCAAGAGCTATTTTTTAGAACATTAAGGGTATTATAATATTGTTACTGAAATTCTTCTAGTAAAACACAGTTTCATGTGCTGCTTATTTCTTCTCTTATTGATTCCCAGATACCACATCTGATATGGTTTGGCTGTCTCCCCAACCAAATCTCATCTTGAATTGTAATCCCCACATGTTGAGGGAGGGACCTGATGGGAGGTGACTGGATCATGGGAATGGTTTTCCCCATGATATTCTCGTAATAGTGAGTTCTCATGAGATCTGTGGTTTAAAAAGTGTGGCACTTTCCCCTCCCTTTCTCTCTTTCCTGCCTCCCTGTGAAGAAGGTGCCTGCTTCCCTTTTGCCTTCCACCATGATTGTAAGTTTCATGAGGCCTCCACAGCCATGTGGAAATGTGAGTCAATTAAATCTCTTTCCTTCATAAATTGCCCAGTCTTAGGTGGTTCTTTATAAGAGTGTGAAAACAGACTAATACACCTTCTTTATCTGTTCAATCCTAATCAGAATTCTCACCCTTCTAATTCTGGATCTTCTGATTAAAAATCTGACTTAGACTCTAATTATATAATATGTGATATATATTATGATATATATAATATATGAAGTCTACTTTCAAAGATCCAGAATCTTCTGAAATCTATATTAAAGTTTTAACTCCTCTGAAAGAACTCTAGACTTCAAATAGGATTTCTAATGTGTGGAATGCTCAAAAACTCATCTCTGTAGTTGCATCCAGAAAAGCATTTTTGTACTAGACTTATCTCTACTGAAAAATTAATTAAGCCAAAAATCAACTTAAAAAGAAATTTTTAAAAATCACTATACCCTGAACTTATGGAGAAACCACCACCAAAAGGAGTCATGCAAAAGAGCAATGGAGGCTTCTGAGAGAAAATGAGTCTTCCAGATTTTAAAAACTCTTTCCTATGGAAAAAAACAAAAGAGAGATGCATGGAGATTAAAATATATTACAAAACATGTTAATGTAAATAGGCTTTATAAAGACTATGCTTTCAATGCTTACAGATCAGCACTGTCCAACAGAAATTTAACATGAGCCACATACATGTTAAATTTTCTTGTAGTCACATTAAAAAAGTAAAGAGTGAAATTAATTTTAGTGACATTTTATTTAATCAAATATATTTAAAATATTTCAACACATAATTTTTATAAAAATTATTAAAATATTTTGCATTCCATTTTTGGTACTAGGCATTTGAAATATGGTATATATTTTTGATAGCATATCTCAACTTGAACACTACATTTTCATCAGAAGTACTAGATTAATATTTAGACTTCATAGAATACATGTTTGTAATTTTGTTCCAAGCATAATTAAAAGCATTTTAATAACTAAATGAAATTTAGTTTTTAGATTTATATATAAAGTAGTTAAAAGAAATACAATAAAAAATTCAGCTCCTCAGTCATACTAGCCACATTTCATATGCTCAATAACCATATTTGGCTAGTAGATATTGAAAGGACAACCAAGAACAGCAAACATGTAAGATTCATGCCATTATTTCCACCTTTTCCACTGAGGACAAATATAAACAATCATGGACTTCTATTCCAATAAGCCCCTATCCTGAGCCTGTCTAGTGTTCTTTCTAAGCAAACAATTAATCAAAATTGAATTAAATGGCAATGTATCCATTTAATCATGGATAATTTAATCATGGAGGGCAAAATGACCAGTTTTACCAGGTAACCATCTTATCCTCATTTTAGCCCTGGTATTCACTGGTTATTGATCTAATGACCTCCCAACACCTGCAGTTTCCCATCGTTTGGTTACCCTATAAGGATACTACCCAAAAACTCCCACAGACACTTGGAGACTCAAAAGAAACACCCAGAAGGGTTGTGAAGAAGGCCACTCATAACTTATTTCAGGATCAAAAATGATCAGGCTGAAACATCCTGAGCTGACAGAGCAGGAACAGACAAGAAGGAAAACACACCTGTTATGGTTACATGCCAAGCCAGTGTACACTAGCAACCTCAGGGTCCCAAAGCAGTAACACAGAGTTTAAAACATTCTTCTCTGGTAATCAGTGGGTTAGACACATCACTTGTCTTTCCTGCCAATTTTGATGCCCAAAGGATCAAATCTTGCTAAACACTTAATTTCTCATAGCTTTAAATATAGGTCTGATTCATTAAATCATACTGTCAAAATTTATCCTACAATAAAATGAAATATTTACCTACATCAAAATTATGGGCTTTTAAAATAAAAAGATAAATTCGTTCAGCATCCAAATGTCTGGGTAGCTTAGTAAGTTCATTTGCTTTGAATCCTGTGAAGCTGCAACCCTAGAAAGAGGAAAATATAACAGGGGAGTAAATATTTCACTCTTCTCAATATAGTAGACTTGTATAACTACAGAAGACCAACATTTAACTATCACTCATTAACATAATTATTTTACTTCTTTTTACTAAATTAACTAAAAATTACATATCCCATCAAAGAAACACCTTCGGCCGGGTACGGTGGCTCACGCCTGTAATCCCAGCACACTGGGAGGCTGAAGTGGGTGGATCACTTGAGATCAGGAGTTCGGGACCAGCCTGGACAACATGGTGAAACTCCATCTCTATTAAAAATACAAAAATTAGCTGTGCATGGTGGCATGCACCTGTAATCATAGCTACTTGGGAGGCTGAGGCAGGAGAATCACTTGAACCTGGAAGGCAGAAGTTGCAGTGAGCCAGCGTTGTACCACTGCACTCCAGCCTGGACCACAGAGTGAGGCTCCATTCCCCACACCCCCTGCAAAAAATAAAGAAAAACCTTCATATGTTCTGCTTCTCTGAAATTAAAAACCCTGGTACATTCATATGCCATACCTAAAATAAAAACAAAATTGTATTTCAGAACTAATTTTGACATAAACTCAAACGATCAAGACTTTTAGTTAGACTACACATAAATAAATAAAGACTAGGCAGAAAGAGAAAGCTTCTATACCTGTTTCCAACCCTCTCCTCTGGTACCTCTCTCTATATTTAGAGCTGTATTTATATTGTTGTAAACGTTATTTTAGTCCTACATAATACGCTTGATATACAATCTGGCAGAACAGAAATTTTAAGTACCTCTATATTCTTCTCTGTCTCCATTTCATCTGAAAGCTGGAAAACATTTTAAATAAAATCTTTAAAACTCTAAATTAAAGAAATTTTACATTTAGTAAATTTTTTCAGTTAATTAGTATGCATAGATAAATATAGATACGTGTGTGTGTGTGTGTGTGTATATATATATATACATATTTTTTTTTTTTCTACAGAGGCCTAAAATACTATTGCTGTGTTTAATACCAGAAATTCAAAGATGACCCTTGCCCTCAAACTAGTTATGGTTCAAAAACGGAATCAGATACATACACAAACAAAACAAATAGAGATAAGGGCTGTAATAAACAAACTACTTATTACAGTTAGGTTCCTGGGAAATACACTCTCCGGGGAAGTTTAGTGTTCAGAATGTTTATTGCGAATGCCTTTGGAATCAATGCCTTTGGCAGTCAAGGGAAGAGGCAGGATTGGGCAGATGGAGAAATTAGCTATGATGGAGGCCTAATAGCCACAACTGGCTCGAAGAAGAGTTCTAGAGCTGAAAGTACCAATCATAGTTGTCCCTGGACTGAAATAGCCAAGCCTTTCTGCTCCAACTTGAGCAGTCACTGGATGGTTCCTGGAAAGAAGCTTCCTCAGAAAAGGAAGTTCTCTGGAGGTCAGGAAACCAATGAAGGGACTGACAGTTGAAGGGTGTCCCTTAACAGCACTCTTAGCCTCTAGAGCACAGATCCTTCTTTGAAAGGGAATCCGGGTGGCAAATTTTAATGTCTACTACACTGCTTTATACACATAGATTAGTTTTTCATCATCTAGTCATGTTTATATATATATAAAACATATATAATATACATATACTATAGACAGACATAGATAGATAGCAGGTTAATTTCCACATTCTTACTCCAATAATAACTAAGCTTACAGGTAAGTTTTACACACACAATACCACACATATACACATATTACACATACACATATTTTAGAAAGGAGATGACATATGACATATAAAACAAATTGGAAAGAATGATGTATTGCTTCCAGAAAGAGGATCGTATTATTCTCATTTTTTAAAGTGTACACAGGAATAAGAAAGAGAGACTTTTTAGGAAAAATGAGATCAAATATGATTGAAAAGAAGGCTATGTGCTTGAAAGTTATAGATCAATAAAGATGGGGTCAGAAATGGGACTATATTAAAATAGGAGTCTTCTGTACAACAAAGGAAACAATTAACAGAGTGATGAGACAACCTGTGTAATGGGAGAAAATATTTGCAAACCATTTATTTAATAAGAAACTAATATCCAGAATATATTAGTATTCAAGGAACTAGAACAACTCAGTAGCAAAAATAAACAACAAATAATACCATCAAAAAGTGGGTAAAGGATCTGAATATACATTTCTCAAAAGAAGACATACAAATGGCCTATGAAAAACGTTCAACATCACAAATCATCAGAGAAATGCAAGTCAAACCCACAATGAAATATCATCTTATCCAAGTTGGAATGGCTATTACCAAAAAACAACAAATGCTAGTAAGGATGAAGAGAAAAGAGAATTCTTATAATACTATTGGTGGGAATGTAAATTAGTACAGCTATCATGGAAAACAGCACAGAGGTTTCTCAAAAAACTAAAAATAGAACTATCATACAATTAGTCCAGCAATCCCGCTACTCATTGTCTCTCCAAAAGAGAGGAAATCAAAGAGATACCTGCACTCTCAGGTTTACTGGAACACTATTCACTACAGCTAAGGTATAGAACCAACCTAAGTTTCCATCAAAGGATAAATAGATAAAATGTGGTATATATACACAATGGAATATTATGTAGCCATTAAATGAATGAAATCCTGTCATTTGCAGCATTATGGATAAAACTGGAGGTTGTCTGTTAAGTGAAATAAGACAGGCACAGAAAGACAAGTATTATGTGTTCTTACTCATATGTGGGCACTTAAAAAGTTTATCTTGTGGAGGTATAGAGTAGAATGGTGGTTACCAGAGGTTGTGAGAAGGGTGTTGGGGGAGTGGAGGGGATTAAGAGAGGTTGGTTAATGTGTAAAAACATATAGTTATTTAGAATGGTTAAGTTCTACTGTTTGATAGCATAGTAGGGCAACTATAGTTAGCAACGATGTCTTATATATTTCAAAATATCTATAAAAGAAGATTTGAAATATTCCTGACACAAAAATGATAGCTATTCTAAATAACCTGATTTGATCATTACACATTGCATGCATGCATCAAAATATCACATGTACCCTATAAATGGGTACAATGATTATGTATCAATAAAAAAGATGAAGTCAGATTTAATTAAATGTTAAGGTTAATCTCCAAGGTTTATTCTGCAGGAGGAAAAGAAACGGTGGAAGTTTTCAAGCAGCAGAGTTGCAGTAATAAAAACCATAGTTTTTGGTCATATAACCTGAAAAATGAGACCACAAAAATATAAATACATGTTAAAATTCTGATTGATAAATCCAATAAAACTTTTTTTTTTTTTTTTTTGAGACGGAGTCTCACTCTGCCGCCCAGGCTGGAGTGCAGTGGCCGGATCTCAGCTCACTGCAAGCTCCGCCTCCCGGGTTCACGCCATTCTCCTGCCTCAGCCTCCCGAGTAGCTGGGACTACAGGCGCCCGCCACCTCGCCCGGCTAGTTTTTTGTATTTTTTAGTAGAGACGGGGTTTCACCGTGTCAGCCAGGATGGTCTCGATCTCCTGACCTCGTGATCCACCCGTCTCAGCCTCCCAAAGTGCTGGGATTACAGGCTTGAGCCACCGCGCCCGGCCTCCAATAAAACTTTTATATTAACAAAAAGAATAACTATTAAAACTTTTGTTAGTATAATTTACCTAAAGGCCATTTCAATAGATTTTGAAAAGTCATTTGATAAAATTAAGTAGTCAGAATTTTAAAACTTCTTTGAAAGGAGCATGCCTTGTAAATGTGAGGAAATACAGAAGAACCATTTGGCTGAGCAAGTGCCTAGCTACTAACCAGTATGTTTAAGCATCATCTACTGAATCACATCCCAAACTTCAATACTAAAAATATTGTGCAAATACATTTCCCAATAACACTAACGACAATAATTCAGCTACAAAAAAACACCCAAGACAAAGTCTCAGCCCTCTGAAAATATCCAGAAACAAAGTCAACTGACTACACTCAAACTACACCACAGTTAAAGGAACATCAGCCCACACAGATGAGAAAGAATCAGCACAAGAACTCTGGCAATTCAAAAAGCCAAAGTGTCTTTTTCCTCCAAATGACTGCACTAGTTCCACTAATGGTGCTTAACCAGGTTGAAATGACTGAAATAACAGGCAAAGAATTCAGAACACGGCTAGAAATAAAGATCACGAAAATTCAGGAGAAACTGAAACCGACTCCAAAGAATCTAAGAATTACAATAAAACAATACAGGAGCTGAAGGTTGAAATGATAATTTTAAGAAAGAACCAAACTGAACTGACAGAGCTGAAAAACACACTACAAGTATTTAATAATACAATCACAAGTATTAACAGCAGAATAGACCAAGCTGAGGAATGAATCTCAGACCTCAAAGATTGCTTCTCAGAAATAACTCAGTCACACAAAAATAAATAAAAAATAATGAACAAAACCTCTGAGAAATATGAGATTATGTGAAGAGATCAAATCTATACTCACTAGTGTTCCTGAAAAAGAGGGAGAGAAAAGGAACTTGTAAAACATATTTCAGGACATCATCCATGATAATTTCCCAAACCTCGTCAGAGAGGCCAACATTTAAATTCAGGAAACACAGACAGAACCCTTGTGAGATACTATACAAGATGACTATCCACAAGACACATAGTTATCAGATTCTCCAAGGCTGACACGAAAGAAAAAATATTAAATGCAGCTAGAGAGAAGGGCAGGTAAACCTACAAAGGAAACCTCACCAGGCTAACAGCAGACTTTTCAGCAAAAATCCTACAAGCCAGAAGAGATTGGGGGCCTATATTCAGAACTCTTTTTTTTTTTTTGAGACAGAGTTTTGCTCTCGTTGCCCAGGCTGGAGTGCAGTGGCACAATCTTGGCTCACTGCAACCTCCCCCTCTTGGGTTCAAGTGATTCTCCTACCTCAGCCTCCCAAGTAGCTGGGATTATGCACCACCGCACCTAGCTAATTTTGTATTTTTAGTAGAGATGGGGTTTCACCATGTTGGTCAGGATGGTCTCAAATTCTTGACCTCACGTGATCCACCTGCCTCGGCCTCCCAAAGTGCTGGATTACAGGCTGAGCCCCTGTACCCAGCTGTATTCAGTATTAAAAGGATGAGTTTGTGTCCTTTGTAGGGACATGGATGCAGCTGGAAACCATCATTCTTAGCAAACTATCACAAGAACAGAAAACCAAACACCGCATGTTCTCACTCATAGGTGGGAACTGAACAATGAGATCACTTGGACTTGGGAAGGGGAACATCACACACCGGGGCCTATCATGGGGAGGGGGGAGGGAGGAAGGATTGCATTGGGAGTTATACCTGATGTAAATGACGAGTTGATGGGTGCTGACGAGTTGATGGGTGCAGCACACCAACATGGCACAAGTATACATATGTAACAAACCTGCACGTTATGCACATGTACCCTAGAACTTAAAGTATAATAATAATAAAAAAATAAAAATAAAAATAAAAAAATAAAAAATAAAATAAAAGAAATTCCAACTAAGAATTTCCTATCTAGCCAAACTAAGCTTCATAAGTGAAGGAGAAATAAGATCTTTTTCAGATAAGCAAATGTTAAAGGAATTCGTTACCAACATACCTGCTTTGCAAGAGGTCCTTCAGGGAGTGCTAAATACAGAAACCAAAGACTGTTACTAGCCACCAGAAAAACATTATTTAAGTACATACACCAATGACACTAAAAAGCACCCACACAATCAAGTCTGCATAATAACCAACTAACAACAAGACGACAGCCCTAGAGGAACTGTCAGACCTGAGCTATACAAGGTCACCTTGCCCAAAAGATGGGGCCAGTCCATC